TCTGGCTGTGCGACACATCAAAAGGATCCAGTGAGTCAGTGTCCTGTTGTTGCACAAGGGAAAAGGTTTATTTGGGAAACCAAAGAAGATGGGATCAAAGAACATCCTTGGGAGCTGTGCTGTGATAGAGGCCTTAAAGGGAAAGGAGGAGGAGCAGCTGTTAAGACCTCTGTTCTACACAATGGAGCAGAAATGAGAGATTGTCTCAGTTATTCTTATCTTAACGTCTTTAGCCATGCAAAGACTGACAAAGATTAAGTAGATTTAGGTCAAATGAACCTCATGTGGTATCTCTGTGAAAACACTACTAGATGACTTTGTTGGCATGCAGAGATAAGTAGGAATCTGCCTTAATGGTTAAGGTAGCAAAGGAGGCAGACATCAAGATTTGTCACTCAGTTTAGTGACCACATACCTGAAGATCCAAAAGTTAGGGCTTTCGGTGAAAGTGGTCTTCAAGTCCCCAAAGTAATCTAGATAACTGATGTCATTATGGGCCATGATTGTAAGTGTTTTTTTATAGCAGAGCTAGCCGGAGCCTGTGGAGAGCTCAGTTGCATGGCCTCCCAACAGTAGTGATTGCTTTGTTTGGGATTTGGGTTTTTGGTTTCTTCAGACAGACTCTGTAGCTCAAGCTGGTCTAGAACTCAATATGTGGCTTAGACTGGCTTAGACTTACTGACAGTCCTGCCTCAGCTTCCTGATTCCTCAGATAACAGGGATAAGCCATCATGCCTTACTAAAATTAGTGGATTTTTTTAAGTCAGCTGAAAGACAAGTGAGGTTAGCATGTGTATTTAGGCTTATTCTAGAAACCCATCTTCCTCTGTGCCTCCTGTCCCTGCCTGTTACCACCTCTGACTATGAAACCTGCCACTCTTTGAAAGATAGAACAAAACTGCAGAAAGCTGAAGAAGGCTGCCTTACTTGACAGTCTCTAGGAAATGTGACTGTATCACCAAGGGTCTGGTTCCATCTGTAAAATCCACAGTGAAATCAACACTGGATTAGGTGCAATCCCCTAATTTAGTCATCTGGATAGAGTGCTAAACAGATAGCCTCATTCATCTCTTATGTAGCCCCTATAAGAGTCAGCAGTGTCATTGAGTTGGTTGTCCAGAATGTTTGCCCTGGAGTGAGAGCCAGCGGTGCTGGTGCAGGGCAGGGCAGGGAGGACAGGTGAGGGATGAAAGTAGACAAGATGGCCACCAGACAGCCTGAGGTCTTCCCAGGGAAGCTCCTCCACTGTGGCTGCTCACAACAACATGGTGTTTGTTACTCAGTGGATCCCTCCACTGTGGCTGCTCATAACAAAAGGGTGTTACTCAGTGGATCTTTTTGTGTCTGCATTGTCAACATTTACTTTCACGTCCCATTTGGATTTGCATCTGAAAAGGCCCGAGTAGAATCAACATTTAAAGGATAACACTCAAATTTGCATCTGATTGAGCAGACATGTTAAGTAATTTTAGCCTGGCTGTTGCTAGGAAACCAATTAATAATGCTCCACATTTCATTAAAAATTGGATTCTGTCTTTGCTTTCATTTAGCTTCACAATTCAGCCGCTTGTGCTATACTTTGCTCTCTTGGTAAATTGTGACAGACAAATTATCGTTTTACCTCATTTATTTCTGTGATTACAATTGTTAGTCATATCTGTCAATACAACTTCAAAGCCTTTCTTTTTTAATGCTTTAGAATGGAAAAACTGAATTTTAACTGTTAATCATTCTTTTCCTTGATAGCTTGAGTACTGAGTTTTATTTTTGTGAAGGCCTTCCAAATTGTGGGTAACAAAAAAAAATTAAAGCAATCTTCCCTGTTCCATAATTGCACCTTCTCTGTATAGTGGCTAATAATTAGAATATTAGGCACTATTCAGAAAGTGACAGACAGCTGATTACGAATTCAGCTGCATTTTATTTTGCTCTTCCCATGGTTTGTAGACTAGACCAGGTTCTGTCTTTTATGCAATGCATTTTGGTTTTTATGACTGTTTTACGTGATAGCCTCTGTTCTTCTGAAGACTAAATGTTCTTTCATCTACCATTGTTCCTATCAGCAGCCAACTGTGTAGTAACAGCGCTTCACAGTTGGATGCTTTGTTGTATTGACGCAGTTAAGATGCTCATTGGTTGCTATTCACATGGGTTTCACAGCTTTTCAAACACTTAATTTGGATGTTGCATATAGACACCTCTGATTCTTGAGCTTAGTTGATGGTCATCGTACCAAGCCAGGCTCCAGAAGGCAAAACAGAATCTGCTTTTGTATTTTATGGTTCACATCTTTGGAGTTTGGGTTCTGAAGATAAAATGCAAAGGACATAGAATTTAAAAGCAGCTGTGAAGTAAAATTTCAGCCTAGCTCCCTCTGTAGCACTGTACCATGTAGGACTGTAAAGCACTGAGGAGGCAGAGGGTCCCATCCCTTTCTGTCAAGAGCACACAGACAGCATATAAATGGGATATGGCTTCTCTGGCATAATATCTCAGACTTCGTGGTTTAAAACTCAAGAGTCATTGTTTCTCCAGGCTCATCCAAGACCAAGGCTTCTCTTCTGAGGTCTCTCTCCTAACTTGTAGGTATACAGCTGCTTGCTGTACCCTCACATGATCTGTTTTCTGTGTATGCACAGTCCAGGAGTCTCCCTGGGACTTAATCTCTTGAAATTCAGATTTAATTTGTGCTTACCCTCAGGGCCTTGTTGCAACATAACTACCTCTTAAATGTCAGGGTTACATTCTGGACACAGGATTTGAGCTTTGTTAACAATTTTAGGAAGACACAGTCAGCCAATACCAGACACATCACATGCTGCCAACTCCTGTGCACTGTGTTCAGTGGTAGCTTAGTGGCCAAGCAATGGGGACGGCGAGAAAGGCAGCAGGGAGTGTGGCTGACTCCTCTGTTTAGAGGTCAGTTCCGACTATAAACAGTACTATTACTCTTCTCCCATTTTGTTTGTTATTTTGTCCTTTGGGGACATTTTCTGGAGCCACGTTTTTCCTGACCTTATTTGATTGGCCATATGGAGATGTACCTGCCCACACACCTCTGTAGGGGCTAGAGACATAAAGCATGAATTAGTGAACAATGAATTCTACCACTGTGTGATGGTACTACTCAGCTCATGCTTGGGATGAGCCCGCTGTGAGGATCTGGGACTTTGTTTCATCTGTTCAGACAGGGTAACAGAAGACAGGCCTCGTGGACATCTTAGGCCCAGCCATCTCTAGCCTGTGTCTTCTTCCATGCACATCTGGGAGGCCCCTTAAATCCAACTCTCTGGCTCAACCTCACCATGATTACAGGAAATAACACCATTTGCAGAAGAGTCATGAAAGTGCCCCAGCCCCAGGTCTGGGTCAACAGTTCCTGTCAGAATGACCCAGGTCACTGTAATGAGTTCTGGATGCAGCTGTTGAAGAGGATGTTCCAGAAGTGGTGGACTGAACGGGCAGGTTAGGTAGAAATGTCCTGTCCCAGGAGAAGAAGGGAGGAGAGACAGGAGCCTAGGGGAAGTGTTCACATGGCAGCGACATGCATTCATTTCTTTCACAAAGGAAGATGGAGATTTCAGATTTAAAACTGGAGCTTAGACTAGTTTCATTTCCCCTGGGCTTTAATAATTCATTTAATTAAGCCAAAATAAACACTTCCACTCACTAGCTTCTCGTAGGTCAAAAGTCTTTTATTTCAAAGGTTTTCATGAATGCAAAGAATATTCTTTGGACTTGAAACCTTTTAATTCCATGTGAATATTGGCACCAGTCCAGCCTGTAGGCCTCAAGCTAGCTTGAAGACAAATTTTTGACAGCTTCTGCAGTCATGGGACTCAGCCATCCTAAAAGACCAAAACACTGAAGGCTGATTACAGGTTAAAGATATAAATTTAATTGTGACAAATAGAACTGCTGCCTGAACAGCACCTGCAGAGTGTTTAACTTGATACATGTGGGTTCATATATTTTGCTCAGTTAAACAGTTTTTGCTCTGTGTTCTGTCAGATCCCACAGAGAAAGGTGTAAACATGAGACCTTAAATACTGGCCACTTGTACGCAGCCATACCTCCGTAAAATTAGACTTTCTTTTTTCAACTTAAAATATAAACTGGCCTTTCACATTTAGACGACTGAGGAAACAAATAAGCACCACTTTTTCAGTGCCCACTAGGGGTAGGACGAAAACTGGATGATACTTTCCCTCTTTGCATGTGGATCCCAGGAGAGAGTGGCATTGATACAGATGTGGAGCTTGTGAAAACCTTCACATTTATACATCATGCTACACCCCACAGCTTTGTTCCCGATTCCAGACACTACCAGCCAGTTCCAAGTTGTATTTGTAGTTGGGTAATTGCTGTTTTGCACTGTAGATTCTGTTAATTGTATTTCTATTTTATCACTACCTGAATTCACCAGCTGTCCCCTTTCAGGGGGAACTACTGGCCAGAGGCAGCTAAGAGAGTTTCATATAGATGACAGGAAGCAAGAGGAGCAGGGAGTCTGTTATCTGGAAATATGTGGACTTAGGCTTTAATTTGTTAGCATCATTGAGCTCTCAAGAAACTGCAGGAAGTGGAAATAATTGAGAATGTTAAAATCTTGTTAAAAATACCATCATGTGAGCTTGCTTTGCAGCGTGCATTCTATTCTAAAATTGGAACTCTGCAGGAGAGATTGGCAAGGATGATACACAGTCACGGTGTTCTGTATTTTACTTATTCGAAATCTCAAAAAGAAACCCTTTTATACTCTTGGAGCTGAGATGAACCGTTTTCCAATTCAGCTTCCTGTTTTCTTTCTCCTTTCTCTGTCAAAATTCTAATACCACTCCAGTTGTCATATAAAACAGAAAATGAACTCTGTCATTGGTAAGAATTTTGCCAGGCTTTATGTTGTATTTCTTCCCCTGTAAACAAATTGTATCGCCAAAATTATAAGCTTATGAGTGGCTCTCCAAGTCAGCCTTCCTCTTGAAAGGGTTAATGCTGAGGACCTTTTGTCCACTGGGCTGTGGGGATCTCTTTCCTCCTCATCCAGGGATTAAGGCCAAGATCAGCCCTTGAGGATTGTGGTTCATCATCATAAGGACTGGCATGAGTGGATAACCCTGTTTTCACACCTCAGACAATCAAATGGGATGAGAGATGGGGAGAAAGGAAGTCAGGTCCTGTGCTGTGGTGATGACAGGATGAATGCAGTTTCACACAAGGAGGCCATCCCCATAAATACCTGAAGAGCATCAGTTGTCTTTTCTCTGACATGTCTAGACTCTAACATTGGACCCACCCATTCACAAAATCCAAGGTGCTACTTACACAAACATAATGGCATTAATAAAATCTTATTTTTAGTTGTGACATTTGTGGGAATTGATGTCACTATCCCCAGGTAGTAGTGAGAACATATTTTATACATGGTATTGGGCCTGCTGAGTATTTATCTGGATATATCGAAAATTGATTCTGCTTCTCACACTGTTCAAATAAACTCGAAGTTAATATATTCTTTTAATATGATGATTAATGGCTATTCAAAAGAATTCTGACAAAAACAGGAGAAAGAAATCAGAATGAGAATTTAGAAAATCTATCTCACATAAAAAGTAAAAATTGATGTTTTTCAATGTGTGATTGGATTGGGAACAAACTCAGGGCCTCACACATTATACCTTTAGCGCTAACAGTAATATTTTTAAACAAAGATATTAAAGTATGAATATATATTTTTACCTGCTTAAAATGCAAAAGAACTATGTGAAAACACAGATAATCTCTTTTAGAGTCTTGAACTATGTGATTATTTGTGAATTCAAATTCAAAAGCCATAAAATAAATAGATTTGATTCAATTAAAAAAAATTTACATAGCAAAAAATACAGCAAAAAAAATCAAAACACATATGAAAATCTTTCCAGAGAACCCTTGCCTCAGAAACCCTTCTAAGTGCAGTAGGAAAGAGGCCAGCGGCGGGAGCAGATTGTTCACACAAGAAGTGCATTGCCTTTTTTTTTTTTTTTTTTTTTTTTTAATCTAAGAAAGCATGTTCACCTTCACACAAAATCAGAGAAATGTGAATTAGAGCTGTGTAGGACTAGCACTTTTTATTTTATCTGAAAAATTCTAAAGAATGAGTTGTATCATTGACCTGACAGGGGAAGATCTGTACTGTACTTCTCATGGCAACATAGATGGCACAGCCCTGGTGAAGGCAGAGTAGGCAGCACCAGTCAGGATTGCATGCAGTTACCCTTTGACCCAGTCTGGCACTGGCAATTTTTCCTGTTGATATTTCTGAATGCTTATAAAATGATACACACAGAAGGTTTTCCATTAGACCATTGTTTGTACTAGAAAATATTGGAAGTGATTCAAGTATCCATTAGTGGATAGCTACTTAAATAAACCATGATCCCTCTATACAACACTGTGTGGCAATTTAAAGAGAACATGGAAATGCTTTATGCCCTGATTTGTAAAGATCTCCAAGCAGGGTCATTAAATGAAAAGAGCAAAGTATGAAACCTAATATGTAGGAAGCTTCCTTTGATGAAGAAAGGAGGAAAGTTTGGCCTTATTCATATCTGCTTATATCTGCATGGAGGAACCCGGGGACGGTTTCCTATGCAGGCTACCACTTGAATAGAGAACTAACAGATACAGGGTGGGAACAGCATTGTGCTCTATTGTAATTTTTTTTTATTTTTGAACTATGTAAATTATTTCCTAGCCAAAACAAGTTTTTAAAGTCACATTTTAAAAAATAACTTCATACATGTTTACAATGTACTGTGCTTGTATCCATCCCCTAATCACCCTCTCTTATCCCTTCCCACTCCTACTGACCAACTAGTCTCTCCCCTACTTTTACATCATTTCTATCTGTGACCAGCTGAGTTTAATTAGAGTTGCTTATATAATCATGGGTAGGAAGTTGTTTCCTGGAACATGGGCAACTTACCCACTTCCTTCCAGCAGCCATGAACTTCCAATAGCTCCTCAGGAAGGAATGGGCATCACAAGCCCATCTCCCACTCATGTTGATAGCCCAGTCTTTTGCAGATCTTGAGCAGGTGACAACAGCTGCTGTGGGTCATGAGTGTAAAGGCCATGTCATGTCCGGAAGACAGCATTTCATAGCACTGTTCATAGCCCATCGTCTGGCCCTTACATTCTTCCTTGCCTGCTTCCACACTGTTCTGTGGGCCTTAGAAGGATTAATGTAGATATTCTGCTTAGGGTTAAGTACACAACTACCACTTATGAATCTCTTCATTAACTGTTGTTGTTCACTGTAAAAAAAAGGAAGCTTCTCTGCCCAAGGCTGAGAGTAGCACTAATCTATGAGTACAAACAGATATTTAGAAGATATCCATTTAGCAAAACAAAAAATGGTAGACTCCCCCCAGGACCCTGTGACCTCCCCAAGCTTTTGGCTAGGTTACAGAACCAAGTATTGTACTCCGTGGACAAGTATTCTCAAGTCTAAGCAGAAAGTAGTCTGTTGTACCCCCAAAAGTCATGCATACAAGGTCCACAGTTAAGTAAAACCATGGATGACTTTTCTCTCGTCACAGTCTACTTAGGCACTGTGAACATCAGCCAATGTGGGGCGGTTTCCAAGGCAGATCCAGCTTGCTTTCTTTTTGGTCTTCAGCCACCATCTAGTTCTGGTGGGCAGTGTCAGCAGTCTGTATTACTTGGGATCCTCAGGGACCCCATGCAAGTAACTCAGAGGGAGGTAACCACTACCTGGTACTTGGATCTTTTGGAACTTTGTTTAAAAACCTATGACTTTGAACTGCAAAGAGGGCTTAGCATTAAGGATATGTACTGTTCTTAAAGAGAACCAGAGTTTGGTTCCCAGCAGCTCTAGGGGCATCTGACACCTCTGGTCCCCATATGTGCACATACCTACACAGAGCCACATACTTAAACAATAAAATAAATCTTAAAAACAAAAACTGTTTCCTGGGATGTATTACCCGCCTATGCATGGCACTCCTTTTTAAACTTATGTTTTCCCTACAACTATGTTTCAGTTAGTAAGGCATGGCTTTCTCATGCATTCTTAGCTTGGGTTAATGCTCTCCCAGCCTTTCCCTCATCTACTCCACCCCATCTCCATTGAAGCCTTTCATTACCGGACAGCACTCCCAACACGTTCATGTCATGTGAAGTTATATGTTTGTAAACTGCATGTCAGTGGCAGACTAACCTAGAATTCATCTATTTGGACCATTTGCCTGCATGGAGCATGTGTGCCCCCCCCCGGGGGGTGTGCCATGGAGGGTGGTAACCACTAGGCACATTGGGATACTAAGTATTTGAAATGTTCTTTGTCCAAACTGAGATGTACTTTGAGGGTGCCTGTTTTAGAAAATTTAGTACAGATAGAGGCCACAAACTACTGCAGTCATAATTTTAAAGATACTGGTTACATGGTAAGTGATAATATTTCGGATTGGGGAACTTAAAATATATTATTGTCATAATTTAATTTCTTCTTTCCTACTTTACATGTGGTTACTAGAACATTTAAAATTACATATGTGGCCTGGCTCTGTGGCTTTCACTTTATTTTGTTTGCATAGTGCTGATGTAGTCTCCTGCCCATTCTTAGTGTGTCTTCCAGGGTTACTGTACAAAAAAAAAGTACAACCCAACCATAATCATGTTATTTCTTGGTTTTAAATGTTGCTTTGACTCTCTTCTTTCTTAGATACCATTGTAACCGTCTAAGACCCCTTCCTTACCATCCCCACCTGCCCTCAACAAGGCTGCTGTTCTTTATTCCCTGGACTCCCTGACTTCAGAAACAGAAGTCTGTTGTGTTTTGAACACCTGTGCTTTCTGTTTGCAGTGTCTCTTCATCTCTGCCCCAGGGCCTAGAAAACTACTCAGCCCAGTTTTTGTGGCTCCATTGGTGAAGCATCCTAGCTGCCCTTTCCCTCTCCTCATCTTCCTCCTCCTTTTTTCCTTGTGGCACTGAGCACTGAATTTAGAGCCTCAGTTATGCTGGACAAGCCCTCCATCACTGAGCTACACCATGGTCCCCTGTCCTGTTTTCTAGCATCTCCTTTATCTATGTTGATAGTTAGCCTTTTGATGCCAGACACCTTATGAGGTCCCATAGCAGACTGGAGATCCGAAAAGGCAGAACATGGGCTGAACACTGTGCTTCCAGATCCTGATAATTCCAGTAGAGTCTCTAAAAGATCATTAGGAAAACTGGAATTTGTCATGCTTTGTCCTGTTTGCCTTGGGTACTTCTATGTGGTTTACTGACAAAAGCAAGTTTGAACTCATAGATCTTCCTTAGTTAACAACAAATTTCTTTGGAACATTCTGGCTTTATACAGGCAGCTTACCCACAAAAGCAGGCACACTGTGGAGACTACAGGAGCCTGGAGGATACAGTGGGCTCTAGTTTCCAGGCTGGGTTTAGACTGGAAACTGAGAAGCATTTGTGTTCAATCCAGACAGCAGATTTCTCAAGCTGTCAAGGTGCCCATGCTTCCAGATGGTAAATACGTCAGGTGGTGACTAGGAGGTGGAGGGTAGCCAGATCTAGGAGGACCACAAGCTGGAGTCACAAAGTTTCCTGTGGGCTCTCCACTGACTCTCATTTCAGTGACCCTCTCTGTAGAGAGTTATTCCTGATACTAATCTTCCCATAACCCTTCTCCTCTGCTCCTGGGGATTTAAAGTTTTGCTCAAAAGAGAAATGAGGAATAGGAAACAGAACACCCAAGACCCAAGGATCAAAGATCTTTAGAAAGAAAAATTGGAATTTTCAAAGAATCTCCAACCTTAGCTGGGTAAACTGGAAAGGCCTGTCTTTGCACCCAGATTTTCAGAGGGCTGTTGTGTTGAGACACTGGTTATTTTCTGCAGGCAGAGCTGCTTGTGTAGCTCTTAGACTGAAAAGATATTATCAGCTGATAACACTCTAGCATTCCTGAGAGTGCTAGAAGTGTTGTGGAAAATGCTAGGAAAACAAAAACAAAACAAAACAAAAAAACTGGCTGCCTTTGACCTAGTGCCTAGAGTTTAGTCAAATTGCCTCACTTCAGTAAAACGCCTCATGATTCAGTAAAATGGTTTGTGGACACACTCTACCTTATAAGCGTT